AGTCTGTTTCATCGATACATCACCTGACTTGTTATCGCGCTCGACTTCTATTCCGAGGCAATACTTAAGCTCACCGAGATCGGACATCTCGAATCGCTCGCTTAATGCACGTTTGGTGGCTGCGAGGATGTCCATGTTGTTGCACGCAAGGATGAGGTCGTCGACGTATGTGACAACAAACATCATGACCTTGTCGTCACGCTTGGCGTAGACACAGTGATCCATCTCGCACTTGGTGAAGCCAATATTGCGCATGAACTCATCAATAGTCTGGTTCCACATTCGAGGGGATTGCTTGAGTCCGTACAACGCACGCTTGAGCTTGCACACATGGTGAGGATGATTGGCATCAACAAATCCGTCAGGCTGCTTCATGTAGATCTCTTCTTCAAGCATACCGTTAAGAAACGCCGTTTTGACGTCCATCTGGTGAAGTACGAGGTTGTGCTGCGCGGCGAGGCTCACAATGATCCGGATCGACGCGAACTTGGCCACTGGTGCGAACGTCTCCTCGAAGTCCACACCGTACTTTTGCAAAAATCCTTTTGCCACGAGGCGCGCTTTGTATAGCTCGATGAGTCCATCAACAGTCTCCTTCACCTTGAACACCCACTTGCTGCTGATCGCCTTGCGATCACTTGAGAACGACACGAGTTCCCACGTGTTGTTCTTGCACGATGACTGAAACTCTAATTCGCACGCTTCACGCCAATTTCTTGCGTCGCTGGATTCCATAGCCGATGAGAATGTCATCGGCACTTCTCCCACTGAATCCACGACGTTAGCACAGTCTTCTTCATGTTCTTCTTCTTTTTCTTCATCAATAGATTCGAGAAGCGCCGACATGGCTTCGAGTGGTGACGCAGTTCCTTGCACTGACGATGTGTGCACACCACTTGTACTAGCCCCGCGTCCATAGCGTTTTTCCACTGGTGGCTCTGACAAAGCTTCTAGTGACTGTGTGCGTACATGTCTTTTCGACCCCGGTAGAAACTCGTCTGTCTGCGGCTGCATATACTGCGGTTGATGACTTGAACGCCGCATTTGTTGCCATTGTGGCCGCTCATGGATCGATGTTGATTCGGGCATAGGCGCATCCATGTCTTCATTGGCAACCCCGTTGTCACGGTCGTTGAAGCCTTCATCAGTGTTATGATACTCGATAGGGTCGATGCCACTTTGTTGCATGTACTTCCCGCTGTCGAACATGTCTTCCATGAATTGGGCGTCGCGAATCACTAGAATGCGACTGCTTGATATATCTTCAAACCGGTACGCCTTTTCGTGGTCTGAGTAGCCCAAGAAGCGGCACAACGTCGATCGCGCATCAAGCTTCGACCTCTTCTCTTTCGGCACATGCACATATGCGTGACATCCAAAGACTTTCAGGTTTTTCAGCAATGGCTTCGTCTTCGTCCATACCTCGTGCGGGGACTTGTCATGGCCAATTGCTTGCGTTGGACATCGATTGCGTAGGAACGCTGCCGTTAACACTGCTTCGCCCCAGTAGCGCTTGCTTAGTCCCGCATGCTCAATCATGCATCTAGCACTCTCGACTAGAGTCCTGTTCATTCGCTCCGCCACTCCGTTAAGTTGTGGGGTGTACGGCGGCGTAAATTGCTGTATGATGCCTTTGTTGCGACAGAACGCGGCGAACTTGTTGGACACATATTCTCCACCGTTGTCGCTGCGGAGCATCTTGATGCGACGACCGGTCTGAGTCTCGGCAAACTTGGTGAACTGCATGAATTTGTCTAACACTTCAGACTTGCTGTGAATGAGGTACACAGTACAAAAACGCGACTTGTCGTCGATGAACGTCACAAAATAGCGCTTGTTGGAAAATGTCGAAGTCTGCATTGGTCCACATACATCGGAGTGCACGACGTCGAGCAGGTCCTTGGCTGGTTTACGTGTAGTTGACTGAAAACTCACTCGCGTCTGCTTTCCGAGCGCGCATCCGTTGCAAAGCTCCCACTTGCCCACAGATGTAATGTCGATGCCGACACCGAGATTCTGCTTCACGATTGCGTCGAGTCCACGATGGCCAATGTGACCAAGACGCAGAGGCCACAAGTATGACCTGCTCATCTGAGGCTTGTTGGATTCACTTGCGATGCTCGCGCTCTCGACTTGCACAGGTGTCATGCATAGTTTAAAGAGACCTTTGCCGGCACGCTCGCCGATCTTCCACTTCTGGTTCTTGAAATTTGCATAACAGGCGCTCGTATCAAACGTCACTGTAGCAACATCCTTGGCGAATCGGCCGACTGAGAACAGATTGCGTGAAAGCTTTGGAATGTGCCACACATTCGTAAGCACACCCTTCTTGGCACCACTTGGTGTCTTCATCATCATCACTACGTTGCCGGTCCCAATCGCCTGCACGACCCCGTCGTCTGCGAGATGAACGTTTACTGGATCGATGATCTTGTAGTTTGTCATAAACCGCTTTGAGAATGACATGTGCTGCGTCGCACCAGAGTCTATGAGCCATGCTGGATTCTTGACGCTGTCGTCGTCGTTGCTCTCCAATCCAGCTGCAAACAGGAAATCGTTCAAGTTTTCATCTTGGTTGTGCGCCACATTCGCACGCTGCGGACGCTGCCGGTCCGCGTTGTCATGGATCCGCGAGGTACATTTTGCGATCCAATGACCCATCTTGCCGCAGTAGTTGCACGCGCCAGTCTTCTTGAGTAACCGTCCACTACGCTTCTTTTCACCTGTCATGAACGCTTGACCTGCAGCGACCCCGTCACTGCCTTGCTCCTTGCGCTTCATGTCTTCATGTAGCAGCCTGGATGTCACCAGTTCCCACGACAGCAAGTCGGCCCTTGACTCCAAAGCAGTAATGAGAAATGCAACCGACTCACTTAAGCTTCCAAGAAGCGTGATCACCAAGTCGTCTTCGCTGACCGGAGCACCCACCGCGTCGAGTTGTTCCGCCAGCGTCTTAATCTTGTTAATGTGCGAAAGCACATCATCGCCTTCCTCCATCTTGGCCGTGAAGAAACGGCGACGAAGAAAGAGCTTGTTGGCTAAGCTCTTCTTCTCAAAGTGGCCTTCCAGCCGCGACCATGCATCGTACGCTCCACTTGCCGACCGAACCAGGGGCAGCTGCGAGTCCTCCATCGCAAGACAGATTATCGCGAGCGCCTTCCGTGACTTGCGCTTGAACGTTGACTGCTCCAGCGTAGTGGCAAGGTGTTCCAGCTTGATCTCCCCGCTTGTCACTTCCCAAAGGCCCCGCTCCTCCAGCACCATCTGCATTTTGAACTTCCAAGTGTGGAAGTTCGTACCATCAAACTTGTTGATGCGAGCGTTGGTGGCGGTGGCAGCGTCCATGTTGAAGGCAAAGTCGGCGTCGGGGGCAGAGTCAGCTGAGCTTGGGCTCATAACCTGTTGAAAAGGCACTTGGGTTGTAGAAAGCAAAATGCAAAGTGAATATATTTAGGTCCTTAGTTCGCAATCTCTTTTGCTAGTCTAAGCCTACTGGATTCTTTCAACAACACAATCGTAATCGCTGTATCGCGCATTACTAATCGTGCAGTCGCGTATCAGTAATCGCTATGTCGCGCATTACTAATCGTGTAGTCGCGTATCAGTAATCGCTATGTCGCGCATTACTAATCGTGTAGTCGCGTATTAGTAATCGCTATGTCGCGCATTACTAATCGCTACGTCGTGCATTACTAATTGTCTGCACGTAAGTTCTTGTGGTTGCCGTTTGCATGCCGAGTCGCTTCTTTTACAACAGAATCTGCCTTGACACGTGGTACAAAAACTTTGCACGCTGGGCTAGATCGTAGAATTTGGTCTCCTGGAAACAAACGGTGTCGTACGGTACGACTGATGATGAGACGGTATAATTGCCGTTGCGTTTCACGTCATTGATGTTAGCACTAAGCAACCGGATGTCATACTAAGGTAAGATCACCTTAGCCCTCCATGAGAACTGGCGTGCAACGAGGAACGACGAATTGCAATGGGCATGCGGCTCTGCGAACCCCGCCTGCCGTGGAAACGATCCGGAGAGTATTTTGTCAGCATCAATCGACTTACTCGAAGCTCGCAAGCCAACAAGAGAGCAGAGGGCCGAACCAGTGTAGCCAAAATGAGTACAACGTCCCACAATGCGTTCGCCAAGAGGTGATTCAAGGAGAGACTGGAGCACATCGATCTCAAGGAGACAAATTGGGTCGGCCCCTTATTACTGAATCGGATGCCCACAGCCAATGGACAACCAGCCATCACTGCGCATAATTGTAGGTGCCGACGCCAACAAGAACAATTCGGAAAAGCCTAACGCACTGGATGCGTCGACCAGCTCACGGTTGTAATTGCCATACAATTGGCAAAGCGCCTGTGTCGTCTGGACAAGATCAATGCGATCAACAAAAAGGCGTACAAGCCGACAAAAAGGGCTTACAACCGTCGGCATCGGCAGCCTGGACGAGGCGTTGAGCGAGATGGAGGTCGACAACCTCCTTAAGGTGACCGCGTCCACTCTCTGGCTGCATTAGTTCAGCAAAAACGTTTTGGCTAGCACCAGGCTCGTCCTAAATAGTATTTAGTAAAGTGTCCGGATCGCCCGATGAACAAATCGTCTTGCGGATTCGAGCTCGAGTTTTACTTGAGGAAGACAAAGCTCTTCGTCACGAGACGGCTGAGCAATAATATCCGATCTCAGCTCGCAAAAAATTATCGCGCACCGTCAGATCGCAATCAGCACGGACTGCCCGTCCGTCGACTTTAACCAATCTAGCGCAGCTAGACGCACACGCTGAATCATTCGGCGGCAAAACAAGTGTTGGAACGACCTAGAGCTGGTTGTCTGAGTAACCATCGTCAACAGTCAATGCATACACATCAAGCTGTGCATCGAGAGTGGAAAGTGCATTATAATAGTGCGGCGTGCACCACGAAAGTACAGTAGCCTCGCCGACACGAGCATGGTGACGTTTACGTCTCCGTTGGAATTGAAACTTATTTGGCACCGTTTAAGCAGGTGCGGCAAAGGATGATTCGGCGGAATTCGCGACAGAAGACGTATAGAGCACCGTCCCTAGAGACAATGCTCCAACCGGCCCTAGTCGAGACTTTAGCAAGGGTATGTCTTGAGACCACCTCCCGAAGTCAGCCATCGATTCATCACCAGAACCACCAGAAGAACCACAACCAATTACTGTACAGAGAAAATTCCCGACAGACCGATTGTTATATGGTGCAGCTTTTGAAGCCAGGGGAGTTAGGTCCAGGGAGCATCGGGAACGGCGATGATAGGGTGCCTGAGGTCGAATACTCGGGGTATCACGATGGCGCACGGGATGTACCGACCCACAGAGTATGAACTGGCCCACCTCCACACCGTCAACCTCGGGACAAAGAGACCGCGAACCAGATCGGAGGTAAATCCGGACCTGGCCCTCCCTAAATCGCAGTACCTTAACCAAACCCAGCCGAGCACAATGAAGAGGTAAAGCCCCTAGAGAATGAAGGAGATCAAAGAAAAGCTCCGGCTTCATTGACCCAGAAACGCCGAAAGCGTCGACGTAGTGGCAAGTGTCAAGGACACTTGTAGCCTTGAGGGCAAACCTGATGGCCAAGGTTGCGAACTTCTCTCCTGCCAAAGCCCGCTTAACAACCAGCGACTTGGCCCCGATCGAAATTGCACCGTTTGAGGAGCGCTCAAGCACATTGAGCTGACCGCTGCTAAGCAACTCCTCGACCTTAACATTACCATGGTCACTGAGAAAGGAAGCAATTAACTTGAAAGTTCCTACCTTTAAAAATAGTGTCCCCATGTCCAATTCCACCGAGTACGGAAACACTTCCGCTACTCCCGGACTCAAGGCGCGGAGCTTGCGCAAGATTACATCACGATCATCCCCGTCATCATAGAGCTGAATCATCGCCATCAGGTCACGACTGGACGGCTTGGCGATGTCAAAAAGCCCCGGAGAGGCCGGATTGTCTTTCTTCTTCGGATTGGACCCATCGCGAAATAGAGCGGCGAAGCCCTTTGGTGGCGGTGGACTAGAGCGAGCTGAGTCCATAGACGCACCATCGACTTTGGAAGGGGCATGACCCGCCTGGACACCCCCAAAAATTTGGAAGATCGGGGAGGCCGAGCCCGCGCCCCCCCCTCGACATTGAAGTAGAGAAGGGGGCGCATCGGCTGCCCAGTGCTGGTGGACCAGCCACGTACCCGCAGCCCGACTTATCGGTGCAGGAGCAGGCACCACATTGGAACCAGTGGTGGTGGGCATTGGCAAGGGTGAAATCTGATTGGTTAAAATTCTCGAATTGGAACCAGGGAGCAAATTGAGAATTTCGCTTTTGAGCATCCAGTGCTTGTTCACATGATAGTGCTCACCTTTGATCGATTTTAAGCCAATCACGTTTGTGCCTTGCAATAGTGACCTAGCCAAAGAGTGACTTCAAATACGGCAACTGTTAAACGGCTCGATTCGTATTCGGCTGGGTCGTTCTTTTAGGTCTAGAGTAAAAGTCGTTTTTTAACACGCATGTTGTTAAATAATCGTCATTTTCAAAAATATTCAACAATTGACTTTTGGTGATCGCTTCGCCAAAGGGGTTTCTCGTGAAAGCTATTGCGTTCGGCTACGATGTACGTCTCTGGGAATTGCGTTTCCGCAGTGTTGGCCAGTCGCTTCACACTAGAGAGAGAGGTGTAGAGTGTCGAATTACTTAGTGTTTCTAAGTACAAGACCTCTGGAAAGACCTGAGCCAGGATATGAGCGCCGGTGTACCCAATGGCTGATCGTGACCAATCCCCTGAAAAATGAGGACCCTCTATGTTGTCGAATAAGCAGTTCAATACACGCATTAAGAGTCGCCCCTCGAATGGCTGTAGCTGCTACTCGATGTTCTCGTTTCGCATCTGCCCGTAACTGTCGTATACACGCTTCCCATTGTTGCTCTGTGCTGCTGTGATCGTGTTGATCCGCTCCGCGAAACACCACTACATTCCTGTCCGTCCATTATCGAGTGTGGCAAACCCTTGTGAGGATGTTCCAAATCCGATGCCGTTCGAGCTTGGCTCTAGGGGCATCATCGTCAAATCGGTCGACTAACATAGCTTTCCGGTATCGAGGTATCGCGGTAGCCCGCCGGTTTGCGCACGCTGCCATAAAGTGTCTCGTTCTCTGACGTGTCGCCATTTTCCCTGTTTAATGGCTTACGACTTTGTCCTAAAGGGCTTGCGCACAATAGCAGTCCCAAAAAATGTGCCGCAGCGTCTCTGGACTTGCTGCACATCTAGCCGTCCTTTGGCAACAATTATTGCGCTCTCGTCCAGGATGGAAAAGGTTTTGTTGGCAGGTTGCGATTCTGTAGCTCGTCCAAACCTGATAGGGTGTTAACCCATTTCCATGGTCCCAGATCTGATGTGGGGTTTGCTGTAATGCTGCTCGCTGCCACTCGTCCTTTGTAGTTTTTCACTCCAGTCGGTCCACGAATTGCTGCAGTGGCTTCTCTAGGGCTCGTTTGGTAAAGGTATAGGCCTGAAGACCTATAGCTTTCGATAAATGGTGCATCGCCGTGCCTGCCGGAGCACTCCACGGAAATCTATGTAGCTGTGGATGAGCCGCGAACACTACATCAGTAGTGCCGATCCTCGTACTGATTTGCGGTGCCTGCTGCTGTAGTTGTTTTCGTTTCCGGGATGCGACCTTCGAAAAACCAGTGTAGTCCATCTTCATCCTGTTTTAATGTCACAATACGTGTAGCTGCTGTAGCTTTTGACCGACCCTCAATGCAGCCTTTATCCCGAAGGATCCAGCAGAAGGAATCAGCAAATGGTGACTCGTAAAGCAGCTGTATAGTCGGAGCAGCTGTCATGTCCCCTCCAATGCTAACATCCGGTGAGGATAATAATATAGACGTTGCCCACCGTTGAAGTGTCTTTGCCGAATGTCGCCCGGGTTGGTTTGCCCGGTCAGGAAGTCGGAAAACAATTTTCATCGGTCCAGTCCGACGCACGTGCAAGTCGGCCAGAGAGCATGAGCCTGTTCTGTTATACTTGCGGTGCTCCAGCGTGTCTCCACGTTCGTCTAGGACCCATGGATTATCGTTTTGATCGAAAGTGGTCCAGAAAGTTGTGATCTCCGCAGGCCAAATATTGGAGTCCTCTCCCCGGGGCGGGTACGCCTGATAATACGAGAGGACCCAGTCATCATCCTCCCACCAACTTCTGACCCCCCCCCCCGAAGCATCGCGTTACAATACTCGAAGATCCGTGATCGGACACCACCCAAGTAAATAGAAGAAGGAGCCAACCATTCCCCTAACGCTCGTAGGAGCGTGTATCCTGGTGACTGGTCCGTCTGACGGCGTGCACGCCCCGAATCTGGAGTCTTGGAAGTCACACTGGTCGCTAGTAAAGTCGTTAGGTCCCGATATGCCCACGTGCTCCATGCTCCGAAATACCGATCCTCTTATTGCGTTAGCCACACCACTGCATGCTTTAGTCTTTGTGTCTTGATCGCTACCGTTATGGGAACGAGTCCAACTCCACCTGCCTTCTTTGGCGTCACTAGAATACCCGGGTTGACTTTGTGCCGACACCGCTCGTTTGATGTAGCGTGCGCCCAGAGAAATTGCTTGTAAAGGTTGGATAGCTCGACTTCGGCCCATCTTGGAAGATCAAATGCAATCGCCGTGAACAATAGCGACGGTAGAACGATAGAGTTCAAAATGAGTACCCGATTTTTCACGCTGGTAGCCACTTTAATTGCGGTCAGGAGTCGCCGCTGGATCTTGCGAATGCGCTGGGCCCAGTTTTTGTTAGTCAGCTCTCCGGTTCCCACTTTGTACCCAAGGTACTTGGTCGTGTCTGCGGGAGATACAATGTCAATTTCGTGCCAAGTGGCCAGAGAAACTGCCATGTTATGGAAAATTAACTTATCTTGGCCGATTGAACGTGTAGGCCAGAAAGTCGCCTAAACTGTCTGAAGAGCCTGAAAGCGAGTGGTATCTGATGTGCTTTTTCCAGATACAGAGTAGAGTCGTCCACAAACGCTGAGAATAGATGTCGCCGCCGTTTCTGCCGAGGTGCACTAAGCCCCACTAGCTGTCCATCCTGTGTTAGGGCAATCATAAGGACTTCCACAGCTACCAAGAATAATAGGGGTACTAGCGGACACCCTTAACGTACCAGATACTACTGGTATCGTCTCTGATTGTTGTCCACTTACCACAAAACGGGCTACCGTGCCTCGATGCAGACGCGTCACTAGATCTACGAAACGTTTGTCAAAACCAAATCGACGTAAAGCTTCCGATAGAAACTCTCTATCGACGGTGTCGTAAGCCTTTTTAAACATTCAAGAGCAGAATACTTCTGCTGTTGTTTACGTCCAGTTCCGCCTCCGCCCGAGCTGTAGTTAACTGGGCCAACATCATCATGACGGGTTTTTGCATTTGGCGTCCGTGTACAAACCCTTGTTGGGAGTCACTGATGACCCTCTGTAGGACCCTTTGTACTCGGGTGGCAAGTACTTTAGCGAAGAGCTTGTAACTCATCTGCAGTAACAAGATCGGGCGATAATCCATTGCGACAGTTGAGTCGCCTTTTTTTCGCAGCAATATAACGAGAGCTATAACAAAAGAATGTGGCATCTCCGCCCCTTGGAGAATTTGATTGCATACCGTTTCCAGTGATGGAACCATGAAAGCCGCTAAGTCCTTGTAGAAGTCATTATTTAGCCCATCCTGACCTGCCGCCTTGTGTCTTTTAAGCGCCGCGACGGCTAGCAAAATTTCATCCACAGATATTGGCTGTAGAAGAAAAAAATTGTCTGGATTTAGCAGCCTCTGCCCGGACGGGATACTTACAAACTCCTCGAGTTTAGTAGGCAGGTCATCCAAATCCACTTTTGGATGAATCTTGCACAGAACTGGAGACCATTCCACAGCAAACCTAACCGCTATGGTCATATCACGCCGGAACGCCGCACCGTGTCGCTGGGAGATATTAGTGACATGCTGATCACTCTCCCAATCTAATACCCTTTTATACGACCACCGCCACCGCGCCGTAGTGCGTGCAAGCTGGTCACCAAGCCGTACCAGATGTGCATCCCGCATTTCCTCCATATTGGCTGAAATCCATTGCCGACGCGTCAGTAACTGTGCCCTATTTCTTTGATGTATCTTCTCAACGACCCGCTTACGTCGTTGTTTTTCTCGTTTGTTTATACGTTGGATACACTTTACGCCTTCGGCCACATCTGCGTCCCATGTGTTAACTGTGGTTCCGTGTCCGACCTCTATATTCGCTAGCTCGTGGTGTAGGTCCGCTATCACTCGGTCGGGCTTGTTGGTCTTGATAGGATATGCGACTTTAAACTGATTGGGCGGACTGTGCGTCGCTAAGGTGTCTCTCAGATGCAGTTCCACCTCCTGATGATCGGAAAAGAGAGGTGGCGATCGAACGGATACCCAGACGACGAGGGGTGCCCAATCTTCGGGAACGTAAAACCGATCAATTCGACTTGCTCGTTCACGTTCCCAATAAGTGAAGTGATCCACTAGGTCGTCTTCCCCTTCGTCATCTGCATGGTCGCGCAGCATGCACGCATCCGTCATCTGCGCATTCATAAGCAACTTTGTGAGGGCAGGACTCTCGGATCAGCTTGCCTCCCGCCGCCCCATCCTGTCCAGTTGAAAACTCTGTACGCAATTACAGTACCCCAACAAGACGCTGTCAGTATTGTGAAGTCCCGTGAACTTTACCCGTTAAAGAACAGCTCCCTTTCTCCTCGCAGGGAAGGCGCATATATGTTTAACACGCCGATCTTGCCCATTCGTATCCCGTTCGTGCGAGTTTCCCACCGATGTGTCTCCCATGCTGATGCCGTATTTGCCAACGCAGGGGTAAGAAGGATAGCAACTCCACCGGATGAGGATGACCCCGTACTCCAGTAAGACATGACAGGGCGATCCCGATCTCGCTCTTTCCCCCAAAAACGCCTCCACTCTGCTGCCAACGCGCTGGCCTCGTTGACCGTGTCCACATGCGTCTCTTTTATGCACCAAGCCAATAGTCGCCGACACACCGGGGTTCGTCTCCAGGCCTCCATCCATTGATGTTACGTCTTATCTTTAAAACCTTATACGTTTTGTGTGACTACATTTCTTTCCATTTGCAAGCCGGTAGATAAGTTGGTGGCCCCGTCGTGTGGTGACCCCTCTAGAAGTCTAAGCCGTCCGTACGCATCCGCCGTAGCTATCGGAGATCCGTAATAGAGCGGGCCCAGAGTCACATCTATAGTGCCCTTAGTACCGAACGAGGCTGCTTACCTCGTTATGCTGGAGTTCAGATGATAAAAAGCTATGAAGAGCTTTCCACTCGACTAGTTTGTTCTTAAAATAATAGGCGCGTTCGTACCGGTCATTTGAGACGAGTAACCTAAGGTGCAGCCGCAGTTTGTCCGGCTTGTGCGGTGGTGTGGGTTTACCTTCGGTAAGCGCGGAGATTTCATATTCATGTAAGAGAGAGCACACAATATGGTGAACCAGTCCCTTGCGCCGCCGGGGAGCACACAATTTGAGCATATCGTCGCCCGCGTACTTCTGAGACCGCAAATGATTCCAGCCGTCCGCGTTTTCCACCAGAGGAGCCATGTAACGGGGTGAATCGTTACATAACAATTTATAAGAAATTGTTAATAGAATATAACTATAAGAGTTATATTCTCAGAATATTGTCATAAGGACAATATTCTGTAGCACTTCCAAGTAGTTCCTAATTGGTTGATATAGGCCATTATATCAACCAACGAAGACGCGCCACGACAGACGCACGCAATGAGTGGTGAGCAGATAACTGATTTACACATTTGCATTTAGACATAGTTAGATGAAGATAAATAGTGATTTATTGCAGACATTAACTATTATAAATACAGTTCTACTTTTTACTCTAACCAAGTACTCGCTTCTTCTTACCGTCTTCCTCTGCACGTACGAGTGTACGTGAAGTTACGAGGCACCGCCTTATTCTGTTATCAGAATAAGTAGCTTGTACTGTCACCAGTACAAGCTTCAGGGTGCCCCGTTACACCTGGTAGCACTTCGTAGTCCGTCCAAGGACCGCGTTCACATCCAACATGAATATGTTGGATGATGAAGATGACCAAAGCTCTCACGCTACGCGTGACGGCTACTCCCATTTGAGCGATGTCGAATGGGATGCGGTTGAACGAATGGGTTCGACCATGGGCATCCATGCTGTTAGCGTCATGCTAGAGGCTCTCAATAGAGATGCCCAACATGCTACTATCGCCAAGTTCATTCAAAATGAACTTGACGCAGAACGCGAGAAAGTAGCCTTGCTTCACCAACAAGGTTCTCAACAAGCAGAGTTGTTGAGAGAACAAGGTGCTCAACAGTTTGAACTGTTGAGACAGCAGCAGGCTGCTGCTGGCGGGTCGATGCACTCGCGTCGGCCCGAGACTTTGAAGATTGACATCTCAAAGTATAGGGGGTCGAAGAAGACTCCCTCTTAAGATGGTTCGTCGAATTGGATGACGCCATAAGGGCGCGTCGCATCGACGACGGGGATATGCAAGTTGCATTTGCCCAGTCAAATCTGGCAGGACGTGCCAAGACTTGGGCACTGGGGCTCAAGCTGCACGACCCATATGCGTTTGGGTCGTTGGAAGTCTTCAAGTCGCGGCTCAGACAAACGTTTGAACCGCCTAGAGCTGAGTTCAGAGCTCGAACCGAACTCTTGAAGCTCAAGCAGGGTAAGCGTGATGTGCACGCTTACGCTCAACATATACGACATCTCACGAGTTGTATAAGTTCCAATCCGGTGGATGAACACACGTTGGTTTCGGTGTTCATGCAGGGTCTTGCGGATGGTCCCGTCAAGACTCACCTGTTCCGGCTTGAACTAGATTCACTAGAACAAGCCATTTCAATTGCGGAGCAGGAAGACTTCAGTCTGAGACAGGCTCGCGCCAGCTCGACATCATATCGTCAACCGAGACGATATGACAACGGAGGTCCAGAGCCGATGGAACTCTGTTATGTAGAGAGCGAGAAGGCTCGCTCTACAGGCTACAAGAAGTTGCAGAGATGCAACAGATGTCAAAAGACAGGACACTACGCTTACGAGTGTAGTGCCCCTCGTCCAGTGTCTCGCGACACTGGGCGTAGTGACCGTCCACCCATGAGAAAGGGGCAGGGACGAGGGTCCGCAGTTGGTGCAAAGACGCAACAACGGGATGGACCGTCAAAAAACGGACAGGATCAGTAGGTGCGGAGCACCCTACTGATCCAGCAACGTCAAGAGAATTTGTAGGCCTCTTGATGAAGGTTGCTCCCAACACACAGACATTGTGCGTTGCTGCTCTAGGTAATGAGATCTCACTCATTACCTTGAAACTCGAAGTGACGAATAAGTTGTCCCTTCGAGCTCTAGTCGATTGTGGGGCGTCCAACAATTTTGTGCGACGCCAATCGCTAGAAGATGGTCACTTTAAATTCAGTGAATGTGACACACCTCCTACGAGGATGATGGTACGTCTTGCGACAGGCGCATCCGTAACCGTCATGAAGCGTATAGTGAAGATTCACTATACGCTAGAAGATACCCAATACGACGATGACTTTATCGTATTGGATTTGGATGACAAATTTGATGTCATCCTTGGAATACCGTGGCTCAGAAGGTACGAACCACGGGTAAACTGGCAACATCGGACAGTAACGATGCCTGCCGCTTGTTCATCAGATGGCCATCTGATGAACGTTTTGGAGCGTCCACAAGCGTGTGGATGTACTACGAGTGAGTGCGATGGCCTCACTTGTGGTACGGTCGTTAGTACGACTGCACAAAACCTTAGTGTACCAAACGGTTACACTTCGGAGCAAAGTT